AGAGAGAGAGAGAGAGAGAGAGAGAGAGAGAGAGAGAGAGAGGTGGTAAGTCTCCAACTGCGCGGCCCACCTCATGGTATTTCCATCGATTTGATGAACACAATCGAATGAATTTACCGCTAGAACATGGAAATATACACTACCACACTTCTTTTTTTCCTTTTTTTTTGAAAAACCAAATCCCCCACCTGTTGTCTGTCATGCGCGCATATGGATGGGTGGGTCGCGATCAGCAAATCGTGCCACCTGGCGCGTAGTGCATTTCAACGCGGCCCCCAACCGTTTGAACGCGCGCGTTTGAACGAGAACGCACGTTCAGCGTGTTCAAATGGTCACATAGCTGCTTCAACAAGAAAAATCATAAAGAAAAAGAGATAAAAGAAAAAAGAAAAAACGGGGATTCTTTGTTCCAAAAAAAAGACAAAAGAGAAAAGGGATAATTTACAAACTACCCCCATAAGTTGAGATATTTGTCAAAATGTCCCTGAAAGACGTAGGTAGAGTAGAAAAAGTTGGCAAGTACTGGGGCATTTTGCAAAGTTGGACGGCACCCGGTAGGCGTATATTGCAAAGATGCGATGCCAGGAGTATTTCATAAAATATTTGTTCTGGCATAGAAACATTCAGCTCTACCCACATCTTGCAGGGACATTTGGGCATATATCTTAAATTACAGGGATATTTTGCAAATTATCTAAAAGAAAACCGATTTTTACTTATGAAAAAAGAAAAACACGAAATCCTTTTCCCTTTCTGTTCCCACGAGGGACGGAGAGAGGGAGGGAGGGGGGGGGGAGGAGAAGGAGAGAGAGAGAGAGAGAGAGAGAGAGAGAGAGAGAGAGAGAGGGAGAGAGGTGCTTACCTCGGATGCTCCGTCCGCCAATCACAAGTTGTTCTGAGAGGATGAGTGTGAGCACGCCCGTTGAGACCGAGAGGTGGTAAACTATGTATGAGTGGGCGATTGGGCAATGTAGTTTCTCATCTTCTAGCGGAAGATTCATTCACATTTTGCACGTTTGATAGATAACGGGACACCTTGTTGATTTGTTGTTACAATCTCGTTCCTCATAGTGTTTGTCGTTACAATTTTCAACAACGTGGTGTTCGCCCTCATGTGTTCGTCATCCTCGTGTTGCCCATCCCGGTGGTATTCATCGTTGTAATGCTCGTTCTTGTGTCCGCATTCGAGCTACTTCTTTGTGGTCGGAGTCGGCGTCCATAATCAGGCTCCATATCTCGATGAAGCACTAAGTTGTTGTCGTACTGTTGCTGGTTCTTTTCAGTGGATGCTGTTGTCTGCAACCACGGTCGACCGTCGCTGCTGTTTTTCAGTAGGT